TTAACACATGTACTTGGTATTAAAGAAAAACAACCATCACAAGGACGAAAAACTGAAGATGATACAAAGAAAAATACTGGAATGAAAACAGATGGAAAATCATCGAATGAATTAGATAAAACTAAATCAACAGAAAAACCTATTGAACAAGAACAAATAACTAAAGTTGAAGGTAAAAATTATTATATTGACAAAATCAACCAAAATGGAATATGACTAAAGTGTGACGGTTTCGGTTCAGTTCCCAAAATATCACGTGAAATCGAATCCGTGTAATCATTAGATAGATACGAAAATTTTAAACTTATTTCGAAAAATTTTTATTATTGAATGATTGAGATTAAAGACGTCATATACTTCAGTACTTAAAAAAAACAATATTATACTTATTTACTGAAATCATTAATCTCAAGAACGAAAAAATGAAGATTTCTCGACATAGATTTAAGAATTTTTGTATCTATCTAAGGATTTAACGGTTTCGATTCGATTTTCGGTTCCAGTTTTTTTGGAACCGCTGAACTCTAGACTAGTGGTGGAATCAAGATTTTGGGCTAGGGAAGGCTCGACCTTCTTACAGATCTTTAAGCCTTTTGGCGAAAAAAATACACCTTTCAAAAATCTCGTCAAGGAGGCTCAAAGATCCGTAGGAAAGAAGACTCCGCTGCTACTCTAGACATGTTCATCATCAATTTAATTTTGATTTTTTATAAGGATAATTTTTTTTTGAACAAGTTCTTTTCTCATGAATATGTGAAAATATAATAACTCTTTCAACTCACACTCGATTATCTAATTAATTAAAAATTAAACTTAATTAGTTAATAAATTAAAGATTAGTGAGAGAATAATTTTCTAAACTTATGATGGATAGTTTCAAGAGTTTCAGCAAAATTAAACTCCGAAACATCTTCTCCTCAGAACCAGTTTTTCTAAGATTCTCTCATGTTCTAGAGCGAGACTTTTTATTTTACTATCATCTCGTGACTCTCAATAAGGATTTGTATTATTTATAATTGACTTTTTAACTTCCGATTCAGTTATAAGAAGATTTTTCATTTCTAAATTTATATTTACTTACATCGCTAATGTTAGTTTTTCAATAATAATTCAACAAAACAAAGATTTATAAGATTAAACTTTTCAGTGTATCTAGAGTAACTCAATATACATCTGTTACACAAAAAATTAGTCGAAATCAATTTCTGTCTCGTGAGATATACATTTTTATTTTTGCGAAATCATATCGCTAACGAATAAAATTTGTCCATATTGTAAAAGAATTTTTATTTGCAATTTTATACAAAAAAAAAAAATATTTTTTCTTTTTAGAAACTCCTCCAACTGAAGCTAATGATACTGAACAATAAATGCTAACCTTTGATTTTTGTCATAATAAAAATTGTATTTCATGTTTTGTTTTTGTTTTGTTTTTTGTTTCTCTTGATCAGAACTAATTGATTGATATATCTTTGTTTTGTGTAAACATTCATTTGTTTTTATTTGAGAGAACGAATATATGTATGTGTGTGTTTATTGTCATTGATTGATAGATTGTGTCTTTATTCATCTTTCTTCTTGTGAAAATGTGTTATTTGTCTATGTAAACGATAACAAAAGAGAAAAAGCAAAAAAAAAAGTCTCAACTAAAATTATTATTAATTTTCATTGCTATATTTGTTCTTCTCTCAAACTTTAGATAAAAAAACAAGTCTTGCTTTTAAATTATTAGAAATTTTCTATAACAAAAAAAAAAAAAGAATGTGGACAACAGGTGTAACACATATGCTTGCTCGTCTAACAGGTTCAACATTATTTGCTAAGTATAAGAATATTGAAAAAGAATTTTTCTTTTTTTACGTTTATGAAATATTATTTTCAGTCATCATCTTACATCAATTATTGGATATGATCATCGTCTAGCATCTACAACAAGTGTAAAAACACCATCATCATCATTGGATAATGTTGGAGAAAGTTTGCATGTAGTAGCAAAATTACGTGATTTACGTGCTCGTACTCCTTATGCACTTTTTGTTAAAGATAATTATAGTGAAACAAGTAAAAAATATCCAGGTAAAATAATTTTAATTATAAAATAAAATATTATTGAATAAATTTAGATTTAAAAATGACTGATATTAGTAAAAAAATTTCTGAAGCATGGAAAAATTTATCTGATGATAAGAAACAAGTATAAATATAAGAAGAATTGAATATTTTAAAATTTTATTTTTATTTTATTTTTTTGCTTTTTTTTAAGACTTATGCAAAAATATCACAAGATCAAAGAGCTATTTATGAAAGAGAAAAAAATCGTTTATCAGCAGCTGATTTACAAAAAGTTGATGCTGATGAAAAAGCTAGAAGAATTGAAAATCGTGTTAAAAAAGTTTGTATTAATTAACAAATTCATTTATATAATATATTAATTTATTTAGAGTATTCAACAATTACCAACAAAAAAACCACGTACAGCATTTATTCATTTTCTATCAACACTTGATCGTGGCAATGCTGATTTACGTGTATGGATTTTCTTGATTTTAATTTTAAAAAAAAAGAAGAAAAAAAATCTTATTTTATATAGGATTTTATGAAAGGAGCAGCTCAACGATGGTCACAAATGAGTACAGAAGAAAAACAAGTAAAAAGTTGTTTTTGTTATTCTCTATGTGTATGTAAAAAATATTTATAGAAATTTGAAGATCTTCATGAGGAAGAAAAACAGCAATATAATCAAACTTTAGTTTCTTGGGCTGCATTGAATAAAGAAGCATTAAAACCAAAAATTCGACGATCTTCATCATCGGCTTCTTCTAAAAAAAAAGATGTTAGTATTGATTAAATTGTCTTGTTGAATAAAAACATTCGGTATTTAATTCGTATTTTCCTTAACTTTATCAATGATTATCATTGTACTTTTCTCATATATTGAAAAAAAAATTTCTGAAAATAGCCGTTGAAAGAAAGAAAAAGTTTAATTAAAATTGTTAATATTATCTGTTTGTATATTGGCAGGAAGTAAAAGCAACATCACCACGTAGAACAAGAACAGCACAGAAAAAAACTGGCGAATCCTCAAAATCGACTGTCTCTGCTGCAAAATCGACCGACAAAAAATCAACTAAAGGAACAAGTGATAAAGAAAAATCATCATCTTCATCATCTGGCGATGAATCATCGCCTAAAATGAAAAGATCAGTCAAAACAACAGATTCAAAGAAATCATAAAATGATAAATATTTGAGTTATTTTTATGTATATTCATTTTCTTGGTCAGTTATCTTCTCCTTTTCTTCTTTTTTCTTCGATTTTTTGATGTTGTTCATGCGCTCTATTCTTTCTTTTTTTTTTGATTTATATTCGCATGACACACTGTATTTTCGTGATGATTATGCTGATGATTATTGTTGTCTTTATTCAAAAAACAAAACAACACACACACGTAGAAAAATACGAAAAAGAAAATCTGTAGATATGTAGATTATATTTAAGTAATCAAAGGCAATGCTTTTCGAAGTTCTTGAACATTTCGATAATCGATTAAACCACTATCAAGATATTGAATTCGATAAATACCTGAGCCTAAATAAAAAGTCGTATAATTATTTTCATTTCATTATTATCTACCTTCATCGCCAAGTATCTGTGCTATATCTTGATCATTAACATAAACTTTATCATTAACATAAAATTTTGGTGATGGATGAAGTAATTTTTGATATTCTCTTTGTATAGTTGTAAGTGGTTTTGCAGTATGAAAAGTATTATTTGAATATCTTGTAAAATCATTAGAAGAAGAAGTTTGCCATGAAGATTTCAAAGAATTATCAGCATAACGTGGATAATAACGGTTAATTCTTGCAGCTGTATTTTGTGGTCCATCTTGTGGTTTAGTCAATACTTTTGAATGTGTATTCGATTCAACTAATGTTTGATTTTGTTCAGTAATTTCTATTGTTGGTTTTCTAGAATCTTTCCATTCTAGTATTAAAATCATGATGAAAAGTGTTAATAAAGCTGAGATAAATATAGCTGTAATAATAATATAAGTAATATATGCTAAACAATAAGAAATAAACTGTTTTTTTATTAGATAAAATAAAAAGTTATAATTGTTACTTACATGCATTCAAAGCTCTGAGTAATAATCCACAAAGTATACCAAGAAAGATACCAGCAGTAAAAAGTAGACCATTAGTAAAAGTAAGCAAGATTTTTTCATTTCTTGATAATCTTTAATTATATGATAAAATAAAAATGGATGAATATTTTTGTGTTTTTTTTTATACCTCGTACTAAAGATATTAATTCGTCTCGAAAAAATTGAAAATTGTTGATTTTTATTCTAAATTCACAATAAACAAGTTATCTATATTTCTTAAATGATCAAACCTGATATTCAAATATAAACGTTGTAATTATCAAGAGAATAATAATAAATAGAAGTATACCCAAACTAATACCAAATAATCCATAATCTATCAATAATGAACAATTATATATGTGTCATAGTTAGAGCCCGTTCGGTTAGTCCCCAATCTAAAGATTTCGGATTAGATAGGTTCTAGTCGTCTGAGAAATGTGTAGAGTACACTAGTCGCTGAATACAAAATATTAGAAAAATACAATTCCGATTAGAAAATTTCATTGAGACTATCAAAGTGCGGTTCGATTGGATTTGAAATATGGGAGTTGACTTTAAAAAGTAGAAACATAAAAATTGTTATGCACTAATTGAAACCAAATAATTTTCAAATGTTTAAATGTTTTTTACATGAATTTAACTAGAATGTTTGTAAGCATGTACCGAGGCTGAAGAGTCTTCTTGCAAAAATCCTCGAGATTCTTATTATTGTGAAAAGCTCACGAGAGAATGTTTCTAAGTGTTACGTTGGGTTTTTTTGATCGGAACTATGTGTATCACATAAACCAAGATGAGCTTTGGATCTTCTGAAAAGACTTCAGGTTAATATCTTATTACCACCGAGATGATGTATTTTTTAGTAGAATATTGTGAAACCCTTAGGAAAAACTGAGTTTTGAATTTCGAATTGAAATTTTACATAGAGACAAATTTTAACAAGAATAGCTTATCATGAAAGTTTCAGATTTTTTGATTGTACTTATTTTGAAATAAGAATATCGGACTTTGCAGTTGTGTATGAGCAGCATGAAAAAATATGCTTTTACTATCGCTGTTATCTTAGGATAGAAGCAATCAAAAGATCTAAAACTTTTATAATAAATTATTCTCATTAAGCCACGTCTTCATGCAAAATTTCAAGTCGAATTTCGAAATTTAGTTTTCTTGAGGGAAACCATAGCACTATGCTAAAAAATACAGTATCTCGACAGAAATAAGGTATTAGCTTGAATTCTTTCCAGAGTATTCATAGCTCATTAGAATCTACACGATGCACATAGTTCCGACTCAAAAGCGATTTGATACTTAGAAACGTGCCCTCGTCAGTTTGGTCTCTCATCTAGATATCCATATAACTAAACAGACCGATTACCATGAAAAAAAGTTCAAGTCTCAGGAATTCTTTCAAGAAATAAAAAACTTCAACTAATTATATCTTAGTTGAATTTTAAAGGTAACACCAACATATATAATTAAAAATAAATAATAAACTAACTTTTAAGAATAATTCCTGGTGCAACACCACCGATAAAACCAATTATTGTTATAATACCAGCTATTGCAAAAACAATCCCTGTCTTTCGTTCCAACATTTATTATTCGATCTGTTTATGTTGCTATGAAATGTATATTTTTTATAATCAGTTGACATCTAAACACCACAGGTGTTCTATGTATGATTCTATTCATTATTGCAAAAAAAAAAATAGTATTTTTCTTTTTCATTTTTTCTATTGTGATTATTTATTAATCCAACTGAATATTATTTGAATAGAACAAAAATTAAACTCATTCAAATAAAAATTATATTAATAAATATAAATTTATTTGTTATAATATTGAATTAAAAATTGTATTTTACAAAAATCATTGAATAATATATGAATTTTAACATTGAAATATTATCATCGAACATGTTTATATTTTGTTTGAAAACAATTTTCATCAAAGCAATAGAATACTTGGTTTTTTTTATTTATTTGCTCAGCAGTCGAAAAGTCCAAAACATTACCATAATGACATTGCTCTTCAAAGTCAATGGGTATATTATTATCAAACTCTACTCAATCTTTGTCATATGTTAAAAACCTATATTACATATTTAATTGAATTAGATAAAATCAAAAATAATAAAAGTGTCATAATGCATCTGTATAATATTATTAGCAATAATTAGATAAATTTATATCAGAGATTCATGCAACTGTGCCATACTCTATCTCATGCTTATGCACGGCGTACGTCTCTGTTTCTTTGTTTTTTTTTGCTGCATGAATAAGATATGAAAGGGCAAAGTCATTTATTTGTTCAATGTTCTTCCAGTGTGTATTGAACCATGAGATAATGCAACATACGCTCCATAGAGATTTGCGTGATGTTCAATGAAGCTGCGTAGAACAGTCCCACATATCTTTGATCTACATACAATTAACTATTGTATCATATTATAAGCTTAATCAACCAGAAATGCATTGAATAGGAACTAAAATAAATATGTGAGTGTGTATTGAATTTTTTTCTTTGTTATTAATATTATTATTGAAAATAAAAATTGTCTATAAGTACAATAACTACGAATGTTATTTAATAGTAGAAAAATAAAATTCATATTTTGCGTAATTCTATTTTGGTAATGATTCATTTTTTTTTCATATTATATAGAGACTCATTGGCTCCAAAATCATTATTTATTTATTCATTTTAGTAATTCAATACTAATTTATTGATAGAAAAGACTATGATAGTAATTCTATTCTTATGTTGACTGTAATCATTCAATCAAAATATAAAATCATAGCATGTTCAAACAAATACATTGACGATGAATAAATATAATCGAAATTCTATTCCTATATTAAATCATAATCAATATAGATTATCAGAATTAAATAAATAAAAAAAAATAGGATCCTATATTAAAATCTTGCAAATAATGATTTAGAATCAGTAGTATTTTTATTAGAATATATAAAGATCAATTATAATATAAACTAATTTACAATATTGGTAAAAAACTACACAACCAACGTATATTACAATACCAAGCGTTTTATTCAAATTCAACTAATGGTTTGAATAGCCAATGAAGTTCTCTATGAAATGTGTTCTTTATTGAAATTTCATAGATGAATTATGACTGGAAAGTTTTTGGAAAAACCAAACACGATAGTTTTCCGGTTCGAGAAGATTTTGTGAAAATTACTTTTTAAGAGTATCATGTTAAAGAATACAAAATTTTGAGTACAATGAGGGATTGCTGCGTCTCCTACGCCCTTCTCTTATAAGTGATAAGCATCACAAACAAGAAAAACAATGTATTTCTAGCAATTTATAATTTTTTAAAGGAAGGTCGTAGGAAACACAGTAACCTCTCATTCTATTCAGAATTTGATGTTCTTTAACATGATACTCTTAAAACGTATTTTTCACAAAATCTTCTAGGACTAGAAAACTACCGTCATTTGATAGGGAACTTCATTAACTATTCAGTCCACTATTTGATTTTGAATTAAATACTTAGGTATTATAGAAAAAAGAACCAAAAATACGTTGCTCTTATATTTTTTACCAATACAATATTTAAACAATTTTTAAATAACACAAGATTGTGACACATCTATGCACTGATTAATAAACTGTGAAAGAGATTTTGATACCATATAAATAATTATTATGCATGTTTAGTTAGGTCCACCTATGATGAAGTACTGTGCAATTAATATTTAATTATAGGCAGTTTTTTTCCAATGTATATCTATTTCCTCATGTTATTATTCGAGTCATAATTAAATAGTCCCTGTTGCATGATTAGATTTTTTTTTTCAAAATATCTCCAATTAGCTGCACGCATTCTCAATTTTATGTCGAGGTTCTTTGTTTTTTTAAGAGAAAAAAAAAAAGTAATATTTTTTTTTTCTCACGTTCGGAAATTCTGGATTACTTGCTAAACGGATATGCATTCTATATGATAGTCAACAATCGCGTGAGATACACATTAATAAAATAATATTTTTGCCTATATTCTAAATTTAGATTGAAAAAAAAAAGAAATTGAATGTCCTCTTCAAATTTGAAGATTTACTTTATAGAACAATATATGTCAAGTCTATTATAGTAGAATTCATTTATTTATGTAAAATGATTTATTCTTTTTCCTTTATATTTGCATTTCTATGATACAATTCTTTTAAAAATAGTAGCTATAGATAAGAATAGACAAACAAACAAAATAAACAGAAAAAAAAGACAATTAAAGAAAGTAAATAAGAAGTTTTAGGAAAGAAAAATGTTATATTTGTTCATAATAAATACATATTTATTGTTTTACACGGGTTCGTTTTGATGGTGTGCTACTAGAAGTCGGTGATGCAAGTGGAGAATTTGTATTTGTTGTTGTTGTTGTTGTTGGTAAACATGTTCGTTGTTGATCAATACGACGTGATTGTAAACGATTAAGAAGTGAAAAAAAATCATCATCGGGTAAAGTTTTTGATGTTGATTCATTCGATGAATTGCTCGATAGTGATTCTATTGCTGTTGTTGTTGATATTATTGCTGATGATGCTGATGTTGGTCTTGTTGATGAATTATCATTAGATGCATTATGATTATGTATCGGTATAAGTACAGCACGTTGATCATCAAGACGAGAATCCTATGATTAAAAAAAAAGGAATCGATTTTCTGTTTCTTTTTTCTTTTCTTGTTAAAGAGATACATAACAAAACAAATATACGAACTTGACATTTAGCTAGTTGATCAAAAAATTGTTCATTCAATTGTGAAAGACTTTCATTCGTTGTTGAAGTATTATTATTATTATCATCATGACTAATTGTTGATGGAAGATTTGTTCGTTGATCATTAAGACGAAATCGTTGTAAACGATCTACTGTATTTAATATATCTTCAAGTTGGGCACTTGGACCTAATTTAAAAGAAATTTTATTTAATAAAATCTTTTCAGAATTTCAAATCTTATATTTATTATATGACAGTATATATTAGAATTTTTTAGAATAAATCGAATTCAAAGTCAGTATGCAAATGTTTTTTATGAATGAATACTCATTAGAGCTAGTCGAATTGATCCCGGATACGAAAATTTTGAATCCGATTGGTTCTAATTACATGAGAAATGTGTTGAATACGCTTGTCACCGAATACAAAAAAAAACCGGAAAAAAAGTATTTCGTGTCGTCCAGACGACTATCTGAATTTAATTAGAAAATTTTATTAAAAGTATCATAGTACAGTTCGACCAGGTCGGAAAATTTTGGATTCAATTAACTCTAATACTCATAAAATGATTTCCTGTTTCATTGTTTTCTCTAAATCTTTTTATTTCTGTTTAGATTTTGCATTTAAATAATAGAATATAACTCTATAAATCCAATAATCATAGAAAAAAGGAATATGTTATAATCATTCGTATTATTTAGTAAGAAGAAACACTTAAAAAAACAAAGATTTAATGCCTACGATGTCCACGTAATGTATTTGGAGTTCGATGAGTTGTTGT